TTTTGACATTAAGTATTTTGATTATTTTATACATTTCTTGAATTTGGGGAGCGGGGGGGGCCATATAATTTTTGTACTGCATTATATATACAAGGGAAATATATGACAAAGTGGAAAAAATGATTTTAGATTTTTCTAAAATTGTTCATCTATAAAAATTTCATGTATCGTTTATAATTATTATTATTAGCCAATCATCTTTAGAAGTCATTCTTTTCCTTATTTTCGCAATTTTGAGAGACTACTTGATCCAATAAACATCTGAGTGTTGGCGAAGAACATATCAGTTGAAGACTAATAATTGTGTTGAAACAAAGATGAAGTTACTCACCCAAAAGAAAAAAAAATAGAAAATGCATAAAATAAAGTAAAACTTTAAATCTCTTGAAGTATTGTCATTTATTGTTAATTTTTCCATTTGGATTTATTTCAATAACCTTTTATTCTTTTTTTAATAGTAATCTAAGTAATTAATATTAAATACAAATAATCTTTTAGGGGTGGGGAGTGATTATTTTTTTATTTGATCTGTGGGGCCACCTTAAATAGTAGAATGTTGATCTGAGAATGGAGACAGAGAAAAAAAAAAATGAAATGAAATGCTACCCTAGTTGGTTTTTTTTTTTTTTTTTTTAATAAGCAATTGTTCTCAAATTTTCTTCACCAATTAAAGTACTGATGACAATAATGGTTTAAGTTAAGCCACTACTAGGAAAAAAGAAAAGAAAAAAGTAAAAAAAAAAGTGTCACTAAATTTCAGACTATATTCAAGAATTCTACCAATTCTGATAGTTACATGAAATGATGTCTTTTAGTCTCAAACCCAACCATAAACAATCTAAACAACCATTTTAAACCAACTCTAGTACCAATTCATATGCAAAAATCAAGTAACTCTAGTACTACTTAAAATTCTAAATTGCCTACTAAAAAAATCCTGTATTTAAAAAAAAAAAAAAAAAGAAGTCTAGTAATTTTTTTAACCAAAATTAAAAACAGCTTGGAATTTTCAGTTTCAAATATATTTAATGGCCAGATGAAAAAATAAGGTTTGCGTCATCTATGAGCTGAATTATATAAAGTGAATATTTTATTAGAGATTACAAAATTAGCGAAATCGGGTTTTAATTGATGGATTTGCCAATGTGAATGAAAATAGTAATATTTTGCTTCCAAAGCACAAAACAGAGATGCTGAAAGAACAGTTTGAAAAAGTTTATAAAAATTACAATCTTCATGACAACTGAAAGTGAAAAAGAGGAATGAAAATGGAAAATACATTTATTTATTTATTTATTAAGAATTTTTAGAACAGAAAAAAAAAAGAAAGAAATGCAAGTCACACATGCACACAATTTACCCCCAATGCCCTCCATCTTTTCCCCTTGCAGGGAGATTGTAATATCCTCTTCCTCCTCCTCCTCCCCATACATACTATCCGGGAAGTTCCACTAGATGAATGTTTAAGGTTTATTTTAAAAAATTGAAAATAAAAAAAATATTGTGAAAAATCTACTAATAACTTCCTCTGTAAACTGAAATTTTCAAAAGAAAGTACATTTTTTTTTTTTTTTTTTTTATTTCCATTATTTTTTATTTTTTTAAAAATATCCTGAATTGGCCAAACTACAATATTTATACATCATGTATGTTACAAAAACATATGAAATATGGCGTTATATGTCATACCAATATAGAAAACTTTTTTTTTTCTTCATTTTTTTGTTTTTGTACAAGAATGTTTCACCCTGTTTTTCATTAACTTCATTTTTTTTAATATTTTTTTTCTTCAAGGCCTTCTATTTATAATTTGTTTTTGCAACTTTATTTTTGGGGAGAAAGCTATATTTTTTGTTTTTACTGTAATTTTTTTTTTTTTATACACATATTCAAAAAAGATATTTTTTAATTTTAGGGATAAAAAAAAAAAAAAAAGACTGTCATTCATTTCACTATTTTTCTTTTCTTTTTTTTTTACATCAAATAAAAAAATAATCTTTTCTCCCAGTCAAATTTAAAAAGGGTTTTTGTTTTTCTTCAACACAAGCATTCAAAAACTCCTTAAGATTGTTTGCTTTGTTTTTCTTTTTTTTCATTCATCGCAAAAAAAAAAAAAAAAATTAAAAAGAATTTTATTTTTTCTTTTAATTTATTTCAAACATAGTATATGTACTCCCAGCCGTCTCAAAACGGAGGCAGTGTACATGAATAATATATAGAAATTCTGGTTTTGGTTGGAGTAGAGAGAGACAGAGAGAGAGAGAAAAAAAAAAATACAAGAGAGAGAGAGATTGTAAAAATTAGTGAAAGATTTCACATGGCTGATGGAGAAATAGAATTGATTTGTTTTTTTTAATGTTTTATCAAAGTCTGGAGAAATAGAAGTTCAGGAAGAGAAATTGTTAAATATTTTTTATCAAATCTTTTGCTGACATTTGCTGTCTCAGTTATGAAGGCTTTAAAAAAGTTATTTGTTAATATTTATCAAAGATATATACGTTTTATTTTTGTTTTTGTTTTTTTTACACAACCAACAGTGCTCCGTCAACAAAAATAAAAATATATTCAAATAAAGCTGAGAGGACATCATTTAAAAGAAGAAAAAAAAAAAATTAAATAATTTTACCTTACAAAACATTATCAGTTAGAAAAAGAAAAATCTTTCATTTTAATTGAAAAGCAGAGAGAAAAGAGGAAAAAGAGGAAAAAGAGAAAAAAGAGGAAGAGAAAAAGAGAAAAAAGAGAAAAAAGAGAAAAAAGAGAAAAAAGAAAAAAGAGAAAAAGAGAAAAAAGAGAAAAAAAAAGAAAAAAAAGAGAAAAAAGGAAAAGAGAAAAAGGAAAAAGAAAAAAAAGAAAAAAAAAAAAAAGAAAAAAGAGAGAAAAGAAGGAAAAAGAAAAAAAAGGAAAAGAAAAAGGAAAAGAAAAAAGGGAAAAGAGAAAAAAGGGAAAAGAGAAAAAAGGGAAAAGAGAAAAAAGGGAAAAGAGAGAGAAAAAGGGAAAAGAGAGAGAAAAAGGGAAAGAGAGAAAAAGGGAAAAGAGAGAAAAAGGGAAAAGAGAGAAGAGAGGAAAAGAGAGAAGAGAGGAAAAGAGAGAAAAAGAGGAAAAAAGGGAAAAGAGAGGGAAAAGAGGGAAAGAGGGAAAAGAGGGAAAGAGAGAAAAGAGGAAAAAACAAAGAAAAGAAAACGTTTATAAAATTTTCTTTAAAAGGATATAAAAAAATAGATGAATAAAATAACATAATCCCCCCACCTACACGATTACTTTTATGACAAAATTTACAAATATTATGCCTATGTTCAGGGTCTCCTTTTTAAACTTTTTTAGAATAGTATTTTTTAAAACTATTTTCAAGGATTATATTTAAGACTATATAAATCTTTTGACTTAAAGAATTTTAAGTTTTAATTAAAGGAGAAAGTAAATTTCTGAGTCTTCCAAGATAAATTTGCACCCAGATTCATACCATATATCTATATTTATGCCATATATCTACTGCCATCACAATGTAAGATATTTAAAAATGACAGCAATAAAAAACAACAAAAAATAACAAAGGTATTTGTAAGCTGAATTATGTCAGTTATACATCTAGACACGTATCAAATGCTAAAAATATTAAATTTAAACATTAAGTTTCACATCTCATATCCTCAGTATTCTTCTAGATTTTTCTTTTGCTCCCTCCTCCTACATTTCATATATATATATATATATATATATATATATATATGTCATCCACAGACAGACTGTTTCACTGTATCACAGCTCTTCAGTGTGGCTAGACATCTGATTACTTCAAGCTGGGATCAAAATCCGACTGATTTGACATTCTTACCTCTAGACCATTGTTGTATGGCAGAGAAGGAAGGGAATTTTATCATTTTTCTCCATACAAAATAAGCCAGTGGCTTGGAGAACTCAATTCATACTTGAAGAATAATGCTTAATAGCAATAGGATCCGCGGTTTTTGAAACTCCCTTTCCCTAAAGAGCTCAACCAGATTTCCAGAAACACACACACACATATAATTCTATCAATAAGAACATTAGTCTGATGAAGTTGTTTCAAACAACACAATACATTAACATAAAATTGTTCCCCTTTTGTCATTCAATTACACACTAAACCAGATATGTAAAAAAAGAAAAAAAAAAAAAAAAAACATTAATTTGAAACCAAATAGAAAAATTATAAAATTCATAAATTTCAATGTTTAAACAAAAAATTTAGACACTTTTTCCTCCCTGAACCTTTTTAATTCAACCAATTAAACAGAACAAATAATTTTCATTTATCATATAATTAATTTAATATAAAATCTATTAAAAATTATGATTTAAATTTGGATGAGAATCCAGCAGAATGGTAAATATTTGGTAATTTTCTAAGGCCAAAAGCATGGGGCACCCAATGAGGATTGAACTCACTACTCGGTCATAATTAATCTAGCGAGACAAGCTTGTTAACCATTACACTACGTTGAGATGCCCCAGAATAGTAAATATATGTCACTATTCAAAAACCTTTTATGTTGATATGTCTTTTTTTTTCTTTTTTTTTTTTAATCAAATCACCCCAAGCAAGGCAATAATGCCACTAAGACACAAGGGGTTGCTGGAACAAAATTACAACAGAATGTAATTCCCATTAAGCTTACAAGTCTTATTTGTATCATTAGATTTTATAAATTTCAACTTAGTTTTGTTATAAGGGTTTTGCTGCTTGATTTTGTCTAGTGGCATATCAACACCTCCATAGGTCATTTAATGCTGAAATCTAAATATTTTTATACAATTTCATTTTATTTTTGAAGATAATAATGACTTAGTGATACAAATCTTACTAATTAACCCATAGCTGGGAGGAGAACAGGTGGATTCGTAGTTTTCCCAAGGGTATTTGTGTGTAAGTGAATATAACGAACCCAACTGGAATTGGAACTCGGCTCTCAGATTTCCAATTCCAAGCTATTATCTATTATACCATCTGCAAATCCAAGCTTACAGCACTTGGATTTTCCCAAGCAGTCACCCATCTAGGTACTGACCAGGCCTGATGTTGCTTAACTTTAGTGATCGTACGGGGACTGGTGTTTCAACATGATGTGACAATAAGCATTCTAAGGTTTTGTATCCCATAATGTTTTAATACCAGTTTAATAAGAATAGGTGAGAAATGGTCATGTTTTAACCATAGAGGAATTGGAGATTATGGCACTTTCAATGTCTTCACCTGAGAAAATTACTTTCATTTTAACTAAAGAAAAAAAAAACTTATCATGAAGACTTTATAGCAAGCAAAACAGATCTGAAATTAGTAAAATTTAATTTAAAAAAATAATAGTTAAGGTTAAAAAAAAAAAAAAAAAAAAATCAATCATTCATATGCTTGAAGAAAATCCCATTCTGCCACAATCACCCAGTTCATACACCTCCTCAAAAGTCTTTTGGAGAGGAATAGAGGTTTATCCCTTGTTTCCTGTTTAGGATCAGGTTTCTGGTTCCTTCTAAATTTTTTCATTCTCTTTCACTCCCATAAGTGTCTTAGTGGCATTATCACCTTGCTTGGGGCAAGTTGATTAAAAGAAAAAAAAAATTGTAGATTTGTTTGAAATAAAATGCATTTATCCAATGATAATGTTTTTATAGGAAAGACAAGTTAACATATTTTTTCAAATTGTCATATATTTAACATTAAAAACTATATTGCTTCAATTTTCACACACTTTTACAAAAATCACATGGGTTTCCCTTAGGGGGTCAAATTGATGTTTTCCAGCAATAAACCAGATCCCAAGGTCACCGGATGAAAAAAGATACAAATAGACTAAGATAGCTAATGCCATCAATACAATTTACATATCTCATAATAACTTTGTATTTTTTTTTTTTAAATTATTTAGCATTTGAGTTTTTCAAACTATTATCCACATCTTTGCAGTGTTGTCTTGTAAATGCAAATAAAGTAGTTTCTCGGTTAATATGAGAAAGAGAGAGAGCCTCTTCTTTCAGAGAGGGTCAAGACTAATTTGCAGTAAGTCACCTGACAACAGTTAGAGAATGTACCAGTCGAAACAATTATTAAAGCGAAAACAAAGATGAGGTTAATAGTCAGGAGTGAAATGCTTCTTTATAGAAAAATTAAAATCTTTAGAAAGCTTTTTAATGACAAGTGCATAACAGATTCTGATCAAGCACATGATATACAGCCAACAACAAGATCATGAAGTTTACAATTACTCAAATAATCTCAACAGAGGTTGACCTATATCTGTGTTGATATATTATTATTGACCATATATAATTATAATATAATTTTATTATATCCTTTCATAAAAGCTTTCTATTATTTTACTATAACATTATTATTATATTTTATTGATTTTATATTATTATATATTGTACGTTCTTGTTGATATTTCATGGGTAAAATAGGCATAGAAAGGTTTGTGTATCGCCCGGTTTACACTCCTCCCCAGTATTTGGAAAAGGTGTAGGGGTTTATCCATGGTTTCTGGTTCCTTCTAAAGTCTACTTCAACTGTATAATTCTAACGTCTCCGCCTAAACCCTGAAATTTTATTTACTATTTATTTTTTCTCTCAGTAGGAGTAGGTAGGATCGCCAATCGCCCGGTTCACACTCCTTCCCTGTATTTGGAACAGGTATTGAGGTTTATCCCCAGTTTCCGGTTCATTCTAAAGTCTATTTAAACTCTATACTTATAACATCTCCACCTGAACTCTGGAAATTCATTTATTCCCCCCCCCTCTTCAAAAAGAATCGATAGTTTTGCCTATCATCCAGTTTACACTCCTCCTAAGTCTTTTGAAAAAGTCTTTTCATTCTCTTTCACTCCCAATAGCCTCTTAGAGGCATTATCACCTTGCTTGGGGAGAAGTGATTAAAAAAAAATATATATATATTATTTCATATCCTCATTAATATTTTATATTTAATTATATATATTTTATCCTAATTTTAACTATTTTATTACATATAATCATCATATTTCATTATATCTTTATTACATGTTATTTTGTATTTTATTATATAAATATTTCACATATTATATCCATATTATTTTATTACATATAATTATTATATATTTTATTCTATTCTTTTAAACAGCTTCACAAAATTAAAATATTTAGAAAGCTTTTCAGTGATAAGAGTATCATGATGATTGGATCGTAATGGTTGTAAAAACAGAAACATTTTGAACTGAGATTTGAATTCATCTATAAATTGAATTATAACAAAATTCAATAAAAAACTAATAAAAATGCTTTGTTAATTTTCAAATGAGTTTTAAACTGAATAAACCATTCACTTCAAAATTAAGTAAAGAATTTGCCAAGACAGAATAATTTTATTGATTATTAGAAACAAATAAGCTAAAAAGCAAAAAAAAAAAATACTTATTCACTGCTTTCAAGATAGGGTGATAATGAGATGTTTCATTATTTTAACAAATGTAATTATTAATGCAGAAATTAGAGAGAAAAAAGATTGTGATCTGTAATCAGGAATTAAATTCATTTATGAAATGAAAACATTAAGTAAAGAATAATGAAGTTTTAAAAAGATTCATCATAAATTCTTAAAGAAAAAGGACAAGAGAGAGAAAGGACAAGAGAGAGAAAGGACAAAAGAAAGATATTTCCTCTGTCCTGCTTGTCTTCAATGTTTTTAAAATTTAAATAGTAATTTTACTAATCTAATTTTATTTAGTCAGTGGAGTCTATGCAACTCAAGAGCTGTGGGTCCCATACTGCTCAACAGAATCTATGCGACTGACTCAAGAGGCCCTATGCTGCTCAGTAGAGTCTACAGGACTTGAGTTCTACCAAACTTAACTACAGAGTTGAGCATTCAGTAATTTATCATTTTTCATCGACAAACCAAGTTAAATATATTATTACAAAATGAAAGATGAATATTTTAATTTTCACTTTGTCTTAGACTTAACTAAGCTTAACATAAAGACTATAATAGCAAAGACCAAAGACATTCGTCCTCATTACACAATTGAATCAATGTACAAGATGCACTTTTGTTATGAGAATTATATAGATGTTCCTTTCTTATGTATATAAGATTTATTCTTTTTAAAAGAGCTTTTGAATACGCACTAAAAGTAAAATATATAGTCAACTACATTTAACCTACAGTGCAGTGTACTACTTTGACCAAGAATAACAGTAAAAAAAAAAAAAATGTCCTGCATCAGCCAAACAGTTTGTCTACAAAAGGATCTTTTAATAATAAAAATGAGAACTATAGATGGACACACCTAAAGATGGCCAGAGTAAACTTATTCCAAAACAATCGTGGGAACCTTATTCAAAAATTCCCACCCAATTTGAAAAATAGCTAAGCATGAAAGGCACTGTAAGTAGATAAATGAAACAAAATATTATATATATATATATATATATATATATATATATATATATATATATATATATATATATATATATTTCCAAGAGGATAAAAATCCAGTTAGAGCTCTATGTCAAAAAGACAGAGGAATAATATAATATAAAGGGTTCAAACACTAATATTCCATGGTTATAATTCATTACATTGGAATCATAATCACAATTCAATTCATCAGACCTACAAATTCATATATATATATATATATATATATATATATATATAGTATGGGTAATAAATCAGTTCGTATATAATCCAGGTGGATCCTAGTAATAAATATTAAACTGATCCACAGAGAGAGCTCAATGTATTTATTATAACAGAGCATATAAATTACACAGCAAAAAATCCCAAATTACCTCATTTGGGTATATTGTATTTCAGCTAACACTAAGTACATTGGTCTTATTGATCCCTGGTGGATGGATGATGGAATACAGTTCATCTACCAGGATTGAATAAGATCAATGGACTTAATGTTAGCTGAAATACAATTATACCTAAATGAGGTCGTATTGATAATTTTTTTGCTGTGTAAAATATTATATATATATATATATATATATATATATATATATATATATATTCTGCTTATACATTTATATATATATATATATATTCTTCTTATACATTATTTTTTATATATATATATATATATATATATATATATATATATATTAAAAAAGTAAACTGATTTTTTTTTTTTTAATTAAACAGTATTAATTACATTTACCAGCCTGAAATTTCGTAGAAAATATGTGCTCTTCGACAGGAATCGAACCTGCAACCCTTATGAGAATTGTTATATAGCCTGAATATTAAATAATTTTCAAACTTAACTCATTTTATTTATATATATATATATATATATATATATATATATATATATATATATATACACACACACACAAACAAATAATGAATATACAATTGGTTCCTCATCATTTGGTACAACTCTGTTTCATGCACATTGCATTTCTTAGGTATGGACTGAAAATTGTGCTATTATATATATATATATATATATATATATATATATATATATATTATTTATTTAAAAATATGATTCCAAAACGCGACATAAGAAGTCTCATGTTTCAAAACAAGAGCTGAAAACTTCACTATAATTATTTAAATTAAATTGAGTTAAAGTAAGCTCTGTTCCATGTTCAAGTGAAATTTTTTGGATTCCAAATTTTTCAGTTTTGTTTTTTTCATTCTAACCAGAAAATGCCAGCCCAACAAACAAATATTAATGATTTAATATTAAAACAGATTTCTTTATGACCTGAAAAGTTTATCTAACAAAGTCAAAACACAAAGTCTCTCTCTCTCTCTATATATATATATATATATATATATATATATATATATATATATATATATATAGAGAGAGAGAGAGAGAGAGAGATATCAGCAATCAGTAAGAATGAAAATATCTACATGAAATGTGGCTGAGCTCATTAACCATTACTCTAGAATGGGTATTCCAAATATTGTTCCTTGTATGTTGATTAAATTCAAGTAGAATAAGCCACCCCCAGAATTAGCATGGGATGAACTTAAAAAAAAAAAAAAAAAAAGAAGTTTTATAGTCATTGAAAAAAGAATGGAATCAATTATCAAACTTCTAGTTTGGTAAACTTTTGCAACGAATGCCA